TTCCTTCCTTCCTTCCTTCCTTCCTTCCTTCCTTCCTTCCTTCCTTCTTTCCTTCCTTCCTTCCTTCCTTGCTTCCTTGCTTCCTTCTTCCTCCCTCCCTCCCTCTCTGTTTGTGTGTAGTCCTGACTATCCTGGAACTCACTCTGTAGACCAAGCTGGCTTCAAACTCAGACATCCACCTGCCTCTGTCTCTCAAGTTACTGGAAGACTTGGTGGTTTTCATGACTTTCATTTCGTAGGGTCCTCATTTTATATAAAATATGCAAATTTAGCTACTTTAAAAATTTATGTGTATGGGTGTTTTGCCTACATGTGTATGTCTGCACCATGACCACCTGGTGCCCTTGGGGACCAGAAGAGGGCACTAGATCCCTTGGGACTTGAGTTATAGGTGATTGTGAGCTGCCACATGGGTTTTGGGAATCAAATCTATGTCATCTGGAGGAGGAGCCAGTGCTTTGAGCCCTGGGCCAAAGCGGGCCCCCAAGCTTTGCTACTTTGAGGCCATGTTTTTTCTCAATGATATCGTGTGTGTCTCAGTTTTCTTTTAGATGCTATTGAACTGTAAAATTCCTCAATGGAAGTAATATATCTATTTTTATTTTACTAGTTTTAGTTATATTGGTCATATACTAAAATAATTCTGAAAAAAATCAAAGCATTACAGATAAAGGTTTGATTATATCCTATATTTCATAGCACTTTCTCTTTAGATAGATGATTATGATTTTGCATAGACCCTTTGTTATTTATTTGGATTAAAATTTAAAAAAAAAATTGCTGGGCATGGTGGTTCATGCCTCCCAACACTTGGGAGCCAGAAGCAAGCGGTCTCTGAGTTCAAGACCAGTCAGGTTTACAGAGAGAGTTCCAGGACAGCCAGGGCTATGCAGAGAAACCCCTGTTTCAAAAAACAAAACAAAAAAAAAAACCTTTAAATTTATTTATTTTGTTTTATGTGTATGAGTGTTTTGCCTACATGTATGTTTGTCCCTTGTGCATGCCTATGGATGGTAGTGAGCCAATATGTGGGTGCTGGGAACTGAATCTGGGTCCTCTGAAAGAACAGAAAGTGCTCAAATTGGAAGCCATCTCTCCAGCTCTTTTTTATTTTAATTTTTAATTTATTTTTGAGACAGGATCTTTCTTTGTAGCCCTGGCTGCTCAGGAACTTGCTGTGTAGACCAGAATGGCCTTGACTTCACAGACTGACCTCCTGTCTCTGCCTCTTGTGTGCAGGGATTAAAGGTGTAGACCCCCATACCCAACTTTAAATGCTTTATTTTGTATATACTTATCTGTAGAGAATATAGTAACTATATGTATCAATATGGATGACTCTTAGACAAATCATAAAAATGCAAATTATAGAAGAACATATAAAATATTAACTACATCTAAAACATATAAAATACTGTATATTATTTAAAGGTACCTATCAGTAGAATAAGAGTAAAAAGTTAATAAATGTCAGTTTTTTTAGTAATAGGAGGTATTGACAAAAGGAAGATGTGATTGGGAAGTATTTAGAGTCTTGAGATGTATCATTAATCTGGATGATGGCTATTATATGACTCTGTATCCTTTTGAATGCTAAATATTACATATTTGAAAATAAAAACATAGTGTTTTGTCTTTTGGTTTGCATACACAGTGTTAGATAGGTAGATAGTCATAGACTACAATAATTTCTTTTTTTCACTTTGCAGTGGTTCTGAGCTTTTCTTTTTGAGACAGACTCACTGTATAGATAGGGAGCTTTAGACTAATTCATGAATACTAGTGTTACTTGCTTTAGCTACCTTACTGGGCTCTGAGAAGTTTGTAAATGATGAAAGTGGCAAATTTGTTGTTACACACTCCTGTACTCTGTTATATACTCTATGCCAAGAAAGAAAATGTAATGTTTTTTTTTTTCAAAAGAGTCTTATGTATCCAGGTTGGTTTTCAGTTTGCTGTGTTATGAAGGATAACTTCACCTTTTCTGATTCGTCTTCCTTTACCCACTGTGGTGCTTAACATTACAGGTTTTCAGTCGTGCCTGGCTTATGTAAGTGGTGCTAGGGATTGAATTTAGAACTTTGTGCATGCTAGGCAAGCACTCTACCAGATAAACTACATCCCTAGTCTTCCAAGAAGAAAGTCTGCTTTTCAGTATTTTCACCTGGGGAAAATTAAATATCTTTTCTAAGTGCTATTCTGGGCAGCAAAGACAATCCTGTAGCAGTTCTTTTGGGAGCAGTTACAATAGTAAATTACCTTCTTGTTGGAGATTTCCTGCAAGAAGTAAGTTGCTGTAAGGATTTAGAACTTCTCAGTGAACATGCCAGTACTACCGTCCAGTTTCCTGGAGCTGACTTGGCAGAATAGTGCAGTATTTAAGTTGACATTTAGCTGTGGTTCCGAACCAAAGCAATCTCTGTCCCTCTCTCATGGGACAGGATTTCACTATGTTGCTTAGGTATCCTTGAACTCACAGAGATCGTTTCAGTCGTCTAAGTGCTAGGATTAAAGGCATGCACCCACTCCAGTGGGCTAAAACTGTTTTTCTTAGCAACCTTCATTTTCTTTTGCTTATTTTAAAGAAGTGTTTATTCTTTTGTGGCACGCTTTTAATCTCAGCACTCAGGAGGTAGAGGCAAGTAAATTTCTGTGAGCCTAAGGACTGTCTGGTCTACACAGTGAGACTCTGTATCTAAAAACCAAAGAAAACATTTATTATTATTATTATTTGAAATGAAGTCTCATGTATCCCTGGCTGGCTCCCACCTTCTTCTGACTCCACAGAGTGTACATGTAGCAGCTGTTACATGGAGCAGCATTGTTGAGTTTTGAGTTGTAGCTTGAGCTACTTGGAACTTCCAGAGACTTCTAGGAAAGTCAGGTAGTTAGATTCATGACTTAGATGGACTTCGTTTTAGTGTTACTGGTAGAAAATGTTGCTACTGAAAAGACAAATGACATTTCTCATGAGTATGCTCTGAGTTAATTAATTAATTGGTAGTTCTGGGTTTCAGACCAAGTTCCTCAAGAATGTTAGGTAAGTGCCCTGTCATTAAGCTGCATTTCCACCCCTTTTTATTATCTTTATTTTGAGATAGGGTCTTGATAAGCAATTTCAGTTCTTCTTCAGCCTCTCTGATGGCTAAAATAACTGGTATATGCCATCATACATGGCTGCTCTTTAAATAATCATCCAGGCTAGGTGTCGTGGTGCTATGCCTTTAATCCCAGAGGCAGAGGCAGATGGATCTTTGTGAATTTGAGACCAGCCTGGTCTACAAATGGAGTCCAGAACAGCCAGGATTATTACACAGAGAAACCCTGTCTTGAAAAACAAACAAAGAAGGAAAAAATACTTTTTGTTGGGGCTGGAGAGATTGCTCAGTAATTAAGAGAACTGGTTGTTTTTCTAGAGGATCCAGGTTTGATTCCCAGCACCCACATGGTGACTCATAATCATCTATAACTCTAGTTCCAGTGGATCTTATGCCCTTTTCTGGCCTATGCTGGTACTGGGTGTGCACATGGTACACAGATGTTCATACAGTCCAAACATTCGTATATATAAAGTGAAAGGGAAAAGCCAGATAGTGTGTTTGTATCTTAGCACTCAGGAGGCAGATGCAAGTGGATCTCTGAGGTAGAGGCCTGGTCTACAGAGCAAGTTCTAGGACAGCCAGGGCTACACAGAGAAACCCTGTCTCAAAATCCAACCCAACCAACCAACCAAATCTGAAAAGGAAAAATACTAACCAGTCTTTTCAACTGTTTTGGTAGGTTTGTCAGGATGGTGGATAAGAATATTTATATCATTCAAGGAGAAATTAACATTGTTGTTGGTGCCATCAAACGAAATGCCCGATGGAGCACGCATATACCACTGGTAAGTGGGGAATGGGCAGACAGTCTGGTCACTGAGTTGTTGTAGAGATCTAATCCATGGTTAAAACAACATTCAACTAAGAGTGAGTGAATGAGTGTGTGTGTGTGTGTGTGTGAGAGAGAGAGAGAGAGAGAGAGAGAGAGAGATGAAAGAAAGGGCATGCGAAAGGGAAGGGATAGGTCCTGATAGAAGGAGGAGGGAGAATAGCGAACAATAGAATACCTGTGACATGAAAGCAGAACAGAGAGCTAGCTTGGGTTAGTGGTACATTCCTGTAATTTAGTGCTGGGGAGGTAGAAGCAAAAGGATCATACGTTCAAGGCTAGCTTTAGTTACATAGTGAGTTCAAAGCCAATCTGGACTACTTGAGATCCTGTCTTGACAACAACAACAAAAAAGGGTAGGGAGTTCTGGAGGAGTGGCTCAGCAGTTAAGAGTAATTGCTAATCTTCAGAGGACCAAGTTTGGTTTACAGCACTCATGTTGGGCAACTCATAACTCTATTTTATAGTTCTGGGTGATCCCATACCCTCCTCTAGCCTCCTTGGGTACCTGTACACATATGCTGTATACTCATGTAGATACACACACATGCACTAAGTAAAAATACATCTTAAATGGGCGACACTTGCTGCACAAATAAGAGGCCCAGAGGTTGTATCCCCAGAACCCATATAAAGGGTTTCTGCTTATTCAGAGCTGGTGACATGGCTGAGTGGGTAAAGCCTGTAATTTGAGCCTTGGCAGACAGAGACAGGGATATCTGGAGTAAGCTAGCTTGTGAGACTAGCCATATCAGTGAGCTCTGGGTTGATTGAGAGCTCTGTCTCTGAGGATAAGGTGGAAGAGTGATGGAGGTAGATGCCCAATATTAACCTCAGGCTTCCACATGTCTATGAACATGTATATATACATACACATATCCAAATGAAAAAGAAGAAAAAATAACCATAAAACCAGTTGCTGGTAGGATGCTTAGGGGATTAAATGTTTGCTTTGAAATCCTGAAAATCTAAGTTTGATCGCTGAAACCTACATAAAAATGGAAGGAGAGAAACAATTTTGCAAAGTTGTCCTCTGACTTCCATATGTGACGTATACCTACTCATATGAATACACAGCAAAACAAACCAAAAGGAAAGAAGAGAGAATCTGCTTAAGGGGAACAGGGGACCAGCTATAATGGCTAGGAGGATAGGAGAGGGCAATGGTGGGTAGCAGATAAGAACAAAGCGAATAATAATATTCATATATGCAAGTGCCACAATGAAATCCATTACATTTCTTTATTTCTTTAGACAGGGCCTCAAACTTAGTATGTAGCTGAGGCTGTCTGTAAACTCTTGATCTTCTTGCCTCTGTTCCCAAGTGTTAGGGTGTACAGGTATGCACCAGCACCACTCTGTAGTTGAAACCCATTAGGCTAACTTAGAACAACAAGGGCTGGCAGGGTGGGTGAGTGGAGAAAGCCTGATGTATTACTACTGTTCGATTACTGTGAAGACTCCATGACCAAAGCAACTCTTACGAAAGACAGCGTTTAATTGGGGTGTACAGTTAGTCTGTTGTCATCATGGTGGGGAGCATGGTGGCACACCTGGTGCTAGAACAGTAGCTCAGAGTGACATCCTGATCTAGAGGCAGCAGACAGACAGAAACTGGGCCTAGCATGGGCTTTTGAAACTATATGATTCACTTCCAGTGACATACTTTCTCCAACAAGGCCACACCTCCTAATCCTTCTAATCCTCAAACAGTTCTACTCCCTGGTGTCTAAGCATTCGAATATATGAGACTATGAGGGCATTCAAGCCATTTATTCAAGGCATTTCATTCAAGCCACCACACCTGACCACCTGAGTTCAATCCCTGGAACCCACATGCTGGAAGAAAAGAACTGACTCCCACAGGTTGTCCTCTGTCTACTACGTGTGTGTGTGTGCCCTTACATATACATATACACAGATAAACATAAGAAGTCCCCCTAATTAAAACAATAATCATTTTTTCAGTAATAATGAGAGTAATAGGAATTCAGAATTACTGTTGCATCCAAGGACACTTCTGTTTTTTTTCCAACTGGCATCAGATTTACAGGCTTAATCCAAAAGATGACCACATTCTTCTCTCTTATATGTATGTACATATATATGTGTGTGTGTGTGTGTGTGTGTGCATATACACATACACACATACAGTGTATAAATACATGAACTAGAAATAGAGACACTTTATTAAGAAAGGGAAAGCACTCTCTTTTCTTGTTTTTTTTTTTTTTTTTTGTTTTTGTTTTTTGAGACAGGGTTTCTCTGTGTAGCCTGTCTTTGTCCTGGAACTCACTCTGTAGACCAGTCTGGTCTGGAACTCACAGAGATCTGCCTGCCTCTGCCTCTCAAGTGCTGAGATTAAAAGTGTGTTACCACAACTGGTGGGAAAGCACTCTTGATAATTATTTTTCTGTTGCTGTGATAAAACACCATAACCGGGACCTGGAGAGATGACTCAGTAGTAGGTGCTCTTCCAGAGGACCCAGATTGATTCCTAGCACCCACATGGTGTCTCAGACTACCTGTAACTCCAGGTTCAGGGAATCCTCTCCCTTCTTCTGGTCTCATGGGTACCAAGCCCATGTGTACACAGATAAACATTCAGGCAAAACATACATACAGTAAAATTAAATAAATCTAAAAACAAACTAAAAACAAACAAGCAAAAACCCCAAAATCCCATGTCCAGGGATTGGAATGCTGGCTCAGGGGTTAAGAGCCAGCATGCTCTTCCAGATGACCTGGTGTGATTCCCAGCACCCATATTAAGGCTCACAACTGTCTGTAACTCTAGTTTCAGGGATCTAATACTCTCTAAATTTTTAAAAAATTGTCTTATGTAAATGGATATTTTGTCTAGTTGTATGTCTGTGTGCCATTTATGTGCCTGATAGTTTTGTAAATTAAGTTAATATTTGGGACTACTTTGGTATGCCTAGAAACATCAGAAAGACTTCTAATTTCCTAGGGCTATAATTAGTAATCAAATTCATTCAAATTAGTTTAGTTATTGATGATGCATAGAGTATAGCTGGGTGATGATAATTCTGTGCAGTGGAGTCTGCAAGCTTCCACATATGGAGCAGGTCGTATCTTATCATGAGATGGATAAGAAACTTTCTTGTTCTTGTTAGGTCTCAGGAAGTCCGTGTATCCATTAAGTGAGCTCAAGTTGGCCTGTAGAAGGATTTCTGGCTATTAGATAAAAGCCATCATTCTTCAGGAACTTGTGAAGTGGTTCGTTTTTGTTTTTGCTCCTCCCTCCAGCTACCCTTCCTCTTTATAATCTGCATGATTTGTTCAGCCCCTATTATCTCAAGCTTTCTTGCTGTCTTTATCTTTTGCTGTCTCCACTGTTCTCTCCCATTATCTAGCTGCACTAGCCCTGGCCATGTTCAGTTTCTCTTTTCTCTCTGCTCTGGACTCTTCCAGGTGCCTCTGATATTCTCTCTTATCCACAATAAAAACCTTCTTCCTCATAGAATGGTCATCTTGGCAGTTTCTTTACTGTGCTCCCCACATACATAAAGTTAGTTTGTTGTTGTGTGTATGTGTATATATATGTGTATTTTGTAGAATTGGTTAAAAAAATGTTGGCACAATTATAAAACCAAGTTTAGTGCTTTCTAACTACCATTTTACCTGCTAAACCATCTCTCCCCCCATCAATGTTTTTGAATAAATATGGGAATATTTCAAATATAGCCACCAAATAGTTTATATATATTCTCACCAAGTTAGAAAGTTCTAATATATATCTGTATAGTATGTATGTGAAATAAAAGCACAGACATTTGGGTTTGTATATACACATACTTATATAAATAATGTTCTTGGCCATTTTTTAAAAAATATTGGTTCCTTTTTTTTTTTTTTTTTTTTTTGGTGAGAAGTTTTGAAAGACCCTGGGACATTTAGGTATTAAAATAGGCATACAAATAAAACACTTACTGCTAATATATCATAAAGAAATTTATTTAAAAATAATTCTTTGGGAGCCACTGAGATGGCTTAGAAGGTAGAATTGCTTGCAGCCAAGCCTGATGACCCAAGTTTGATTACCCAGAACATTGTGGAAAGAGAGAAGGAACTCTTGACTTTCACACTTACATCAAGGCATGTAAGTGCCCATATGTTCACACTAACAAAATAAATGTTTTAAAAAAAGCTTTGATAGACATATAATCTTATATTTATTAAAGATGAAAACATTTGTACACTAATAAGGAATATGTGTTGGTGTTTCTGCTTGGATGGAAAGATATTCTGGGATTTGGGATCCCCGGAACTATGCTGCTTTGAGGTGGGACAGTGTCCCAGTGGAAGGGCATCCTGAGATATGGGAGCCCAGAAACAAAGCAGCTCTGAGAGGAAGCCTCCTCAGCAGAGGTGTTGCAACCCTGAGGGAGAATATTCCTGGCTGAGCTAGAGTGCTGCAGCTAACAGTTCCACTTCCCCACTCCTCTTCAGGATGGAGCTCCCAAGGGTGGGTGTCCCCAGCTAAGCTCAGGCTCTTGGGAGCCTCAGCCCTGGTTCATTTCTTTGCTTCTTCCCTTTTCCCTTCTTTGCTTCTTCCAATGAGAAAGTCATACCAGGCAGCAAATCTTATAAAAGAGATTTATTAGAAAGATTTGGAGGGTTGGATCCAGGGGTGGCTGCTTCTGTTGTAGGGAGAAGACAGCAAGGAACTGAACAGTAGGCAGGGTTTATATAGGATTTCTTAGGGGCAGAGCTTTCTACGGCAGAGCTTTCCAGAGTAAGGATTGGTAGGATTTCAAGTCCTGAGCTTGGGAAAACTCAAGGATTGGTAGTATTTTTCTTGTAGACCAGGGTCTGGGCACTCAGAGGCAATAACAGTTAACAGCCATTAGAAAATGGACCGTTAGGGAAATGTGAGGGCAGGGCCTGGCTGCTGGAGCTCCTCTGGCAGGAGTCTGGCCACTTTCCTGAGTTGGGGGTTTACAAAGTATACAAAGTTTATAAAGTTTACACACGGAGCCCACAACATTTGGGAATAGCCTACAGTATGTACTTCTTCATTCTTACATAAAGAATTAAATCATGGCTGAATATTTGGTACTGCGGGATGTGGCACATTGTCACTGCTTTTCAGAGTTGGTACCTATTTTGATTTGATTTTATAATTTTTAATACTAACAGTGCTATTTTGCATAAATACATAGTACATAAGGCAGAAGTATGTTTAGGAACATCAAAAATTTTAGAAATTCTTTTGTAATCTTAAGCAAAGATTCATGATTTTTTTTCTTTTCTTGACACAAGGTTTATCTGTGTAGCTCTGGCTGTCCTGGAACTCACTCTGTAAACCAGGCTGGCCTAGAACTCACAGAGATCTGCCTGCCTCTGCCTCTTGAGTGCTGGAATTAAAGGCGGGTATCACCACTGTGCAGTTCATGGTTTTGTTTTGTTTTTTAAATGTGGCTTGTTAGTAACTGAAACAATTTTTAAAACCAAGCATTCTAACATAATACAGTGCTAAGACATATTACTTTGGTAACTACATGCGGAGGAATTAAGTAGAAAGTATTTTTAAAATCCTTTTTCCATAACTAAACTTATGTTTTGTTTCTAGAAGAGCAGGAAAGTTTGTATATACAAGAAAAGTACTGCAGCTCATAAAACATACTGTTTTGAAATCTGAGCTGATATTTTCAGGCATGCTTATATATGAGGTATGGCATGATTAGGACAATGGCGGCCAACAGTGAAGTAGGGAAATGCAGCATGGGGGATACACCGTGGATTCATTACTCATTTGATTTTGAGTTAAATTTTGGTCATTCTATATTCAGAGATATTTTCCTGTTGCCAACATTTTCAAGACACTCCACATTTGGTTATGTGACTGCCTTATAGGCTGTGGTTCACAGGAGAAGCTGGGCTGAGGCCAGTGAGGTGGCTCAGTGGGCAGGTACCTGCTAATAAGCCTGACAACTTGAGTTTGATCTCTAGGATCAGAGGGTGGAAGAGAGAACCGACTCCACAGGTTGTCTTCTCATCAGCACGAGTGCACCAGGGCGTGCCACCTCCACCCCCACATGCACATGCACACAAAATAACATGCAGTAAAAAGTGTTAAAAGAATAAAAGACACTGGGTTGTAAATTAGCACTGAAGAACTTATTTTAGGTAAGCCCACAGCTTACTCTCTGAAATAAATAAGGAGTCATGGCTAAGTTACTTTACTCAGAGGGAAAACTTACTGAATTTTCTGGTTGGAGTAAGAAAAAGTTTTGATCTTTTGTTTTATGTTTTCTATCTTGGATTAACTTTTTTTTTTCTTGACCTGTGATTTTCCAGGATGAAGAACGGGATCCTCTGCTACATAGTTTCAGTCATCTAAAGGAGGTCTTAAACAGTGTAACAGGTAAGACTCCCCTTACCTGTAGGACACAGTGCAATAGTTAAGGTTCCCCATGTAGGTAGAATTACCTGGCCTACTAAGAAATACACAGATTTGATTTACTGCATGTAAAAGTAACTTTTATTTACCTGATGTAATTGTCATCTTGGAGGCTTACTGCCTCCTTCTGCTAACCTAGGCCTAGTCCTGCAAGCGTCTAGCCTCCATACAGTCTAATCTAGGCCTACAATGTTTTCAGTCTCTTAAGACTTACTGTTGCATATGTTCACCCTTTCTAGCTCTTTCTGAATTCTGGCCGGTTGGTTCAACTCAGCTGTTCTGGCTCAGACGGCTCTCTAAGCTGACTGATTCAAACTGGTTTCTTTCAGCTTCTGACTGAATTGCTCTGTTGTCCTCAAACTAATTCTAGCAATCTGTTTTAATCTTTTGGCTCCTTTTCATTCTCTGGCTTGTTCTGTCTTCACTTGTGTCTAGCTTGTTCTCTCTTTAACCTGTCTCTGTAACACTCCCCCAATAACATTACCTTCTCTCCCTCTCTCTCTCTCTCTCTCGCTCTCAGTCATCTCTCTTCTCATGAGAGCTAGGCATATCCTATTCTGTCAAATCTTTCTCTCATTCATCACTTTATCTGCTTCTCAATTAGATATCACTTTCAAACATGGGTGCTTCTTTCTACCAACTAACTTTACTTCATTGTTTGGGACTAAAGGTGTGTGCTGAAGGCATGTCTTTATTCCAGACAGAGTCGCTGTGTTGCTGGATTAAAATCCCTCTACAACTGCAGGAATAGACAAAATTTTCATATAAAGGATCATATAAGACAAATAAATAAAAACAAAAGATGGTATAGTAAATATTTCAGGTTTTGTGGATGTAGCTCTGCAGCGCCTCAGCCTGGCCTGTGGAGATCACCAGGCATAGGTAAGATGTAAATGAGAAACATACATCTTTTTTAAAACATATGCAAGTCAGATTTGGCTCATAGATTAAACATGCCAGTTTTGCAGTCTTATGTTCTCAGATTCCTTTGTCCTTTTATTTTCCTAATCAAACTAACTTTATATAATATTCACATTTAGAATTTTCAAAGCCACTTTCATATTTATTATCCTTGTTAATGTTTACAGAAATGTATGAAGAAGGCATGCATAATGTTGTCCCCTTTTTATGAAAAACAGTCAAGTGCAGAGAGGTTTAAAGTGATTTAGCAGAAGGGCTGGTGATGTAGCTCAGTTTGTAGAATGCTTATCTCCTCTGAATAAGCCCTAGATTCAATCCCTAACACCCCATAAAACTGGGTGTGGTGGCATGTGCTTTGCTTGTGATCTCAGGTCTTGAGAGGAGTAGTCAAGAGGTTTAGAAATTCAAGATCATCTTTTAGCTACATCCTAATTTTAGGCCAGTTTGAGCTACATGAGATCCTATCTTTGATTTTTATTTTATTTATTTTTTATTTTATGTGCATTGGTGTGAGGATTTCAAATCCCTCAGAGTTGGAGTTACAAACAGTTGTGAGCTGCCATGTGGGTGCTGGGAATTGAACCCAGGTCCTTGAAAGAGCAGACAGTGCTCTTAACCACTGAGCCATCTCTCCAGCCCCGAGATCCTATCTTAAGTGAAATAAACAGACAAATGTAGATAAAATCTCTTGTGTACTGTATGGAAGCATTACCTGTCAATAAAAAGCTGATGGCCTATTAGCTGAAGCAGGAAATAGGAGGCAGGAGCTCTGGCAGAGAGAGATGAACTCTGGGAGATAGTCAGAGGAGATTTGCCCTGGACTCTGAGAAAGATGGCCACATGAAATTGAGGAGAGGTAACTAGCCATGTGCCACACGTAGACTAGAATAAACATGTAAAAGAAATTATGAGGTAGTCAGGGAATAAGCCAAAGATTATAGCCTATGCATTTATTTATAAATAATAAAGTCTCTGACTCATTATTTGGGAGCTAGAACAGGTGGTTAGAAAAGACCCTTGAAGGGCTGGAGAGGTGGCTCAGTAGTTAAAAGAGTACTGACTGATTTTCCAGAGGATCTGGGTTCAATTCCCAGCACCCACATGGCAGCTTACACCGTCTGTAACTTCAAGATCTGACACCTTCACACAGACACACATGCAGGCAAAACATCAATGTACATAAAATCAAAATAAAATAAAAGAGCTGGGCATGGTGGCACACACCTTTAATCTTAGCACCCAGGAGGGGAAGAGGCTGGAGGACCTCGTGAGTTTGAGGCCAGCCTGGTTTACAGAGTTAGTTGCAGGACAGCCAACGGTACACAGAGAAACCCTGTCTCGAAAAATAAAAACAAAACAAAAACCAACCAAACAAAAGACCCCCAAATTAAACTCTATTGTTACAAATGGTACCCCATGGAGGATACCAAATGTTGAATTATATTAGTAGGGGCCTTTTCTAATACACACCATAGTTTTCAAATAATTGACACAGAGGCCCATTAGATTTACTCATCCAGCTTAAAGCACTATAACTGGGCAGATATTCTCCCTTTCTAACCCAAATATGCTAGTCTGGCTACTTTCCAGTCGTGTGCTTGTTACTTGCCTGCTCAATCTTACCTTTGCTGCTTTTGTTGTATCCTCATGGTGAATTCCTTCTCTATCTCTTCTTTCTTTTCTATCTCATGGTCCCTGTCTGAGACCCAAGACTGGGAAGGGAAGTCCCATCTTCCTCTCTCCCCTGCTCAGTGATTGTCTGCTCAGCTTCTTTATTAACCAGTCAGAAATAATTGGGAAGCAATGTTTACCCAACATTGATCAATGGTCATGACAATGCTCATGTCTGGACTGCATCTGGATTTCAGGGCATAGAATTCAGCATCTGAATACACAGTGCACCAGACCAACCTCCAACAGACAAAAAAACAAACAAAAAAATAAACAATACACTTGATGTAGCTAATTCTCAGAGGTGAAATCAAGTAAATTTTAGGTTTCTGACCTGGGTTAGTGTTCTTTCCCATGTTTTACATTGCTTTGGTATGTTTAATTAGAGGGGATTATATACACAAAGTATCTTTTATTGTACGTGTGGGGGAAGAAGGTAATGAAAGAAAAACATTAATGCATGTGTGGCTTTTGTTGTTGTTATTTGTTGTCTTTATTGTTCCCTGTGTTTTTTAAAGGCAATACAGACTGAAAGGGAATGCCTCAGAACTGTGTTCCTCTAAAGGGTTCTTGTAATGTAGGCCTGGAATTTTCTGAGCTAGTGGGTCTATCTCAGACCATAATTGAATAGTATTTAGATTTCAACAAATTAAGCAAATAATAAGTGAAAAAAAATTCCTCATTTTATGAGAAATACAGGGAAAAGTTTGGAGAATATTCCTTGGTTATTTTTCCCAAACAGGGACTGAAGTTATCTACAAAGGAACAAATTTCACTTAATTAAAAAAAAAAAAAAAAAAAAAAAACTTTAAAATTTTAGTTTTAAGCCGAGTCTGATGGCTTACACATGTAATCCAAGCACTCAGCAGGCTGAGACAGAAGGAGGGCCATGAATTTGAGGCAAACCTAGGCCACATAGTAAACAATAAGAGCAACACATAGGTTTTGTGACTTTCTTACTTTATTACCCTCTTATACACAATATAAGGTTCTTTGTGTATACATTGAGTTCCAGGAGAGTCTGGGCTACAAAATGAGGTCTTATCTTAAGCAAGCAAGCAAATTCGAAATCCAGACATGGTGATATAGGCCTGAGGCAGGAGGGTTGGAAGTTTAAGACCTGTCTAGGCTATAGAATGAGTTCAAGGCCAGCCTGGGCAACTTAGCGAGACCCTGTCTCAAAACAAAACAAACAAACAAGCAAAACAAATACAAATGGATCAGAGGTACAGCTCAATGGTGGTACACTTGCCTCATATTCAGAAGGCCCTGGGTTCAATCCCTAGTGGCATGCAAACAAACAAGCCAAAAAGAATTAGCTAGAAAAATTAAATATAGGCAGTGACTTAATGGTTAACCTGAGTTCTGTTCCCAATACTTATGTCACGAGGCTCACAATCACATGTAACTCCTTGAGTGCTGACCTTTCAGGCAACTGACATTACCAGCCCTGCCTGCCCCAAACTTTTCCTTTCCTTTTCCTTTTTTTCTTTTTCTTTTCTTTTTCCTTTTCCTTTTCCTTTTCCCTTTCCCTTTGCCTTTTTTTCCTTTCCTTTCCTCTCTCTCTCTTTTCATTTTATAAGCAGAGGAACTTTTACATACATAAGCACATACATAAGTGAGGTTGCTGAAGTCCGTACTAGTTATTCTCACAGATACATAGCTTTAGAAAATATTTATTGTTAGTGTCTACGCAAGCTGTTATGACTTAATGCCCTACAGAATTTTCATATTGCTACTTTGACTAAAAATATATCAGTGAGGGGGACTTGCTTGAGCCCCCTTAGTCATTAGGGCTCTTAAGATGGTTTCAGGCAATCCTTCGGGGAGTTAAAACGGCCCCTCCAGGGCTGTGAGGGGTTCTTTGGGAGTAAAGAAAATGTCTTATGGTTGTGTAACTCTGAAAGTATATTAGAAACCACTGAGTAGTATACTTTACAAGGATAAATTTTATAGCCTGTAAATTAGAGCTCAAAATTTGTTTTTCTTTAATGTAATCAGGGTTTTGCTGTCTTGCTCAGGCTTCTCTTGAATTTCTGGACTCAAGTGATGCTTTTGTTAACCTCCTGAGTGGCTGGGGCTACGGATGTGCACTGCTACTCCTAGCTTCATAGTTCATTAAAAAAAATCAAATATAAGCTACAAAACTAATGAATTCACATTTTTTTAGGGCTCAGAACTCTGAAGAGAAGCTTTTGAGTGTAGTCATGGCCGTGATTTGGACCCATTGCCCAGCAAAGGCAGCATAAGGCTCTGTTCAGGCTCTTGGCCCACTTTGTCCTTTTATGTCTCTCTCATTAACTCAAGAAAGCACATGGCTTTTATATTTAAATTTATTCAAGCTGTAATCTTTGACATTTGAGTTAGCTTTT